AAGACGTCCAGCATCCCAAGCCTTTACCTGTTGGCTCGGCAATGAGTCGAGGGACAACACGGATTACGGTATTGATCGCGGTTAACAAGGACAAACACATGATCTTGGCCGTCTCGAGCAATTCAATAAGTGCCGTCCTAATACAGGAGAACCGAGACGAACAACAACCTGTATATTTCATCAGCCGGACGTTACAGGATGCCGAACGGCGCTACCAGTTGTTAGAAAAAGTAGCCTTAGGGCTCATCTATACCGCCCGCCGACTCAGGCAGTATTTCCAAAGTCACAAGGTAGTCGTCCGTACTGATTGCCCGATTGCAAAAGTCCTCCGGAAACCAGAGATTGCCGGCCGGATGATGGCGTGGTCGGTCGAGCACTCAGAGTTCGACGTGTCTTTCGAGCCGAGAGGCCCCATCAAGTCCCAACACTTGGTTGACTTTGTCAATGAGCTCACTCCTCCAGGACGTTTTGAAGACGAGCCGTGGACCATGCATGTTGATGGGTCCTCCAATGCCCAAGGTAGTGGGGCAGGCGTCATTCTTGCTAGTCCCTTAGGTATCACAGTGGAATAGTCCCTTCGTTTTGGCTTCCGAGCATCCAATAATCAAGCGGAATATGAAGCCTTGATAGCCGGGATGCGATTAGCAACCGAAATGGGTGTGAAAAAAGTCATATGCTGGACCGATTCAAAGATCGTAGCCGAACAGGTCAACGATAACTTCCAGGTCAAGGACTCGAACTTGTTGCAATACTATCACTTGTTCCAGGGACTCAAGGATGGCTTCAGTGAAGTTCAGGTATGGCACGTCCTACGAAACAACAACGAACGGGCCGACCAGCTGGCTCGGCTCGCCAGCAGCCGAAAGCCAGGTCAATTACGGACCACCATTCATCTTGAGATTCCCTCCCCAAGTGTAACTGTCGAATGAATGACAATAAATGAAGCACCCTCATGGGTCACCCCCATTCGGAACTATATAATTAACGGCACACTGCCAGCCGACCCGATGGAGGCCAAGAAAATACGAACGCAAGCGGCTTGGTACTCCATGGTAGCCGATGAGCTCTACAAGCGAGGATTCTCCACCCCGCTGCTCAAATGCATTGATGACCTGCAAGCTGACTACGTGATGCGAGAAATCCACGAAGGTATTTGTGGCTCTCACTCGGGGGGGCGAACCTTAGCGGCCAAAGTCTTGGGAGCCAGCTATTATTGGCCGACTCTGAAGGGAGATTACGTCGA